CTATTTTTTATATAAAGTCATCTGAAAATAATTTCAATCAAACATCGTAATTAACAATGGAAAGATAATTTTTAAACGAAAGGAGTACTTTGAATACCTTTTATAAACTAATAAACCTTCTAAAAAAGAAAACCAAGTATAAACTCATAAAAATATGTATTTGGCATATGTATTTTAAGAGGGACAATTAGAAAACTTATCTATGTAACCCCAAAATAAAAACACACTAGTTTTCTACCCCGTGCTACGCACGGGCTTGTTATTATGGCTCGGTGTTATGATTTTGAGATAGATTCTTGGAAATGGAGGGTTTTGTTTATTATTTGATTTTATTTAGTGATATGCCACGACATGTGTTTAATGGTTGTGTATGATTTGTTTACTTATGATTTTGGAAGAGTACATTGTATGTTTTTGTTTTGTGGAATGTGAAGAGTGATATTATTTTTGTTTGAGGGTTTTGTAATATGACGTTGTTGGTTGAAGATTTATTTTGTTTGTCTTGTGTTTAGATGTTCTTTTTGGTTTTGTATGTTATGGGTTTGTTTTGTTAGTTAGTTTTTTTTTGGGTCAACATTATGAATTTTGTAATGAAAGTAAAACATTGAATACATACATAGAGAGATTTAGGTAGGTGTTAAGAGAGATTTTTTTTGCGTAACTTGGAATCTAGATTACAATGATAATGGGTAAAGATTATTGGTGGAAGCAATAGTTGGAGTGGAATTGTAGGTATTGTCTACAAATCGTGTCCGTTTATTGTATATCCGAATGCATCTCTGAGAAGGAGTATTGCTTGTTTTGCCGCATCTTGTTCTGCACCGTTTTTTGTTTCATTGCTGCCTATAATCGGGATTTTTGTTCCGTCTTCCATTGTGATCTCTAGTGTGGTGAAGTAATGCTGATTTCTCTCTTTGGTTTCATGGGTGTAATGTGCCTTTTGTAGATGTAATTGTTTTAGGATGTGGGAAAGTATTGTTTTGTAAGAGATGCGAAGTTGTTGCTTGTCATCCTCCATTATCTGCAAAACATAGTAATGTTAGGGGTTGCATGATTTTAAGTTTATTGTACTTTTGTATAATTTTTGTTTTTTAGAAGAATAGAGTGACTTATTTTTTTGTTTTCTAAAGTTGAGAATTTTTTGAAATTACTTAATTATGTACCTTGAAAATGAGTTTAGGTGTGAAATGTGATATATAGGGGATTAAAGTTTTGTGTTTTTTCTTTGAAGAATGGAAATGTTTTGGGTTGAGTAAAGAATAAAAGTAGTTTGAAATAAGGATAGGAATTGTTATGTGTATACCAAGTTGTATTCACATAGGGGTGTTGGCGGTAATATGGAAGATTTACTTACCACAGGATATTGGTGCTTGCGGTTGTATTTGTGTTCTTGTTGTGTTCTTTTGCTTTTCGTATGCACGTTTTGTGTGGTTTTTTTATTTACAATGTTGTGTACTCCGTATAATATTGTTGGGTTTGTTATATAGCATATTTATATTGATTGTTTTGTAGTAGGGAATGATGTTTTAATTAATGTTTTGGTTCATATCGGTTTTTTTTTGTACGTTTTTATGAAAGTTAATGTTGGTCAAGAATACAATGTAGTTTAATTAGGATATTAATGTAATGAATGTGATTAAAATTTGTATAAGGTATTTAGCGGTTTATCTTGTGTCTTAAGGATGTGTTGCATTTATGTGTTTTGTTAATCGTTGTTTGATTTTTTTGTGATTCATTTAGGTATATTTTGTTTTAGGATGAATGAAATGCGGAAAAGTAGTGGTATGGTATAAAATGTCAAAAGGTGTGTTTGTTTAATTTTCATTTTGATTTTTTTTGCTGGATTGTTGTGATGTTATTTGTTCTATTTTTTTGTGTTGTTATTTCTTGAAATTGTTGGGTTATTGGTAATTTCCTTTTAGTTTTTTGGTGTTTTTTCTGTATGTTTATAATGGGAGTAGGATAAGTTTTCATTTTTTATTTTGTTATTTTTAGGATAACATATGGCATATAGGTCATATATGAGAGACATATCTTTCAATGAGTTGTCATTACTATGTTTTTTTTTTGGCAATTTGATTCTATGATTTCAAAATTTACTTGTTTTGATTTTCAATGAATTTGGTATTCTTTGTCAACTATGTCTTTTTTCAAAATTTTACTTGTTTTGATTTACTTTGACAACAAATTGTACAAATAGTATATTATATTTAATTATAATGTAAATTTAGGGTTTTTTTTTTTGAAAATTGTATTTTATATATGAAGTTTTTATTGGATTTAATTATTTTAAACTGTATTTAATTTTTAATAATTAAAGTGTTACATAGTTTAGGAAAGAATTTTAATTATTATATTCTATTTGAGACGAAAGGTGTATAGTGATTATTAATTCTAATATATTTTATTCAAGAATTGGTGTCATTTGGAGTTTATATTTTAGACCATTTGAATGTTTTATTTAAAAATATGTTTTGTACATAATTAGGTTTTTTTTTGAAAAAGGAAGATTGATGTTGGTTTTAATAAAGTAGTCATCATTTCTTCTTCCATTACATCTCGTAATGAATATTTTATTTATATGAAGTTTAGTATATGTACATGAATATTGAGAGCAATAGTTTTATGTGAAAAGAGACATTTTATAGTTTTTCAATTACATTATATATCTTTAGATTTGCTCACATTAAGACAATGGAAAGACAGAAAGAGGTTTTTTATTCACGGAAACCTAGTTAACAATTATAAGTTTTGTTTAAAATACAGGTCTTAGGAAAGGAGATTTGAATAATTACATTTCCCTTGTGCATGTAGTTATTCCCACGCGCAAAGAAGAGGAAGTAATGGTAGTGCTAATGATAAGAATGGATGGAAATGCCGCAAATTTAGCTGACTTCATCACATAGGACTGCTTCGTGTGAAGTTGATGTTGAGAGGTGTGAGGTTTTTTTTGGTTTGGTGGCTGTAGTGGTGATCATCCGTGAAGAGCTAAATTCTGTAATTTGCACGTGAAAAAGAGAGTGAGAAATGGTTTGTTTGAATTTTAATAAATTTTTTATGTATTCTTACTTTGAAGGAATTTGTAGTTTTGGTCGTCATGGGAACACCGTTATTCTTCTTCATGTCTTTGTTCATCCTGTAGTAGTAGGTATTAGTTAGTTTTGTTTGGATTTTGATATTTGGGGATGTATTATGTTTTGTTCTGGGATATAATATGTGTGAATTTGATCGATGAGTACTTACCTGGGGAAGATTGTTGAATACCTCTTTGTAGACTATATTACGCGTGTAATGCATATACTTTTCATCTGTCTCTTTTATCATGAAGTGTAGTCCATTTGGATTAGTCACTCTTGATGCTGCTACATAAAGTTGGCCGTGGGTGAAAACGGGGTTTGGGAGGTAGATTCCGACATTCTTCATGGACTGTCCTTGACTTTTGTTTATCGTCATCGCATAGCATATCCTTAGTGGGTATTGTCTTCGTTTTATGACAAAAGGATATTTTCCATCGTTGGATGATAGTATGATTCTGGGGATGTCCACCAAACCTCCAATGTTTTTCCCAGTGAGTATTCTGGCACGTATAATGAACTGGCCTAAGTATGTGATTATTAATCTTGTCCCATTGCATAACCCAAGTCCCGGGTTAATATTTCTAAGCATCAGAACCGGTGCTCCTACCTTTAGTGTGAGTATGTGGTTAGGGATTCCAGGAAATGTTAATGTATTTAGGAATTCTGTGGGGTAGCTGAGCTCTATGTTGTCACTTTCTTGGGAAGCCCTGCATATTTCATCACAGCTTTTGTAGGATACATGTTCTCCTGGTAATAGGTTGAACATCTTCTCATTTATTTTGTCTGCGGTGTCATTCAACGGGGTCAAGATAGCTCTCTCTTTTAGGTAGGCTTCGTCATTCCATTTGTTGATGAAGTCTGAATATGTGTGAGCGATTATATCTGAAATGTGGTCTGTTGTTACTGGAACACAGTGTTCTTTTGGTATTTCAATCCATGTTGGCTCATCCTCATCTTCCCTTGACACCATCGGTAATGTTCCATTCCCCATTTGTAGTAACTATTGGTTGAAGGTTTTATTGTTAATGTTTGTGTTTCCCTCCATTGTTTGGTTCTTGACTCTCATGCTCTGTTTCAATGTGTGGACAATGCAGTCATCCCAAATGTATGACCGGTTTAACGTTGCAAGGACGATGTCTGGCCGCTTCCCCTTTCTCACAACAGGCAGTATTTGTCGGAAATCTCCCCCCATCAATATTGTTTTTCCTCCAAATGGCAAATGTGCTGCTTCATGTTGTGTATAGGAGACAATATCTTTTAGTGTGCGATCAACGGCTTCAAAAGCTAGTTTGTTTGCCATTGGGGCCTCATCCCATATTATTAAAGAGCACTGTATGAGAAGGTTTGCGAGCTGTGTTTGTTGGCGTACCCCACATGTCGTCCCGTCAAATAATTCTATTGGGATCTCAAACCTGCTATGTGCTGTTCTGCCGCCTGGTAGTAGTAGGGAACCTATTCCTGTTCAAAGAATAGGAAATTGGTGAATACATTTTGTGTGTTCCTAATTAAATTTGTTATTGTTTTTTTTGGCATTGAGTGTGTGTGTGTGTGGATATATATATATGTGTGTGTGTGTGTGTGTGTGTGTGTGTGTGTGTGTGTGTGTGTGTGTGTGTGCGCGCGCGCGTGTATAAACCAGCTGTGTATGTGTGTGATTGTGTGAGTATCTGGTGTTGTGATGTGAATATGGTTTTTGGGTGTTGAGTGCAGTGAAAGCCTCTTTGTATAAATTTTTAGTTCATATTTTGATTGGGTGTTTTTTTATAAGTTTATCTTGAAGGTTTTTGTGTTTTCAGAATGTTGTTTGTGTGTTTGTTTGTATTTGTACGCGTTGGGCTAATGTACCTGATGATGCAACAGTGAGCACTATTTTTCTCTGACTTCTTAGCCTTGCCGCAATGGTGGAGTACAAAAAAGTCTTACCTGTTCCGCCATGGCCAGGCATCAACAGATGTGAGGACTGCATTGTACACTTCTAACTGTTCGGCATTGAGTGATGCTTTATTCGTTCTGTGCACATCTTGGAGTTGTGTTATACTATAGCTAAGCTCTTCTCTTATCAATCTGTTATCAAGTGGCCTGACTGTAGTTCTGTCTTGTTGTGGTAGGGATGGGAAGTCTGATAGGTTTTTTCCCGATCGTTCTAGAATTTTCTCAATTTCCAAGACACAATACGTCTGTATTTGGTCTGGTGAGATGTAGGCACGTTGCTTCTTCGGTGCCCTCTTGTCCTTCTCGTTCTTGAGTTCGGACACATTGGTTTGATGTGTCCAATTTCACCACACCCATAGCATTTGGGTGGAGTGTTCTTCTTGGCTCCCTTCTTGAGCATCATCTTCTTGAATTTCCGGACAAAGAGTCCGAGGTCGGTGTCGTCGCTGTCATCATCTTCTTCATCAATGTTGTTGTGGGTTGATGTTGTTGCGGGTAGAGCAATAGACCTCTTGTTCCTCTCTTCAACAACCTTTGAGAGTTGGGTGGTTTCGTAGGTAATAATATTACCTCGAAGAGCATCATAGGTCGTTGTTTGAAAGTCACGACCTTCTTCGATTGCGTCCACCTTTGAACGCCATTTGGGGGATAGGCTTCGTAGCACCTTTCTCACGAGCACTCGGTCGGTGTAGGTCTTCCCGAGAAGATTGAGAGGATTAATGATGTTAGAGAACCTCTCAAACATTTCCTCAATCTTCTCGTTTTCCTTCATTGAGAAGAGTTCGTACTCGTGAGTAAGATGGTCGATTTTGGCCTCCCGAACCTGCGCGGTTCCTTCATAGGTGACCTCCAATTTCTCCCACATTTGTTTTGCGGTTTCACACCGCGAAATTTTGCGGTAGTCATCCGCATTAACACCGCAATAAATCATGTTTATTGCCTTTGCGTTGAGCTCCATCTTTTTGCAATCTTCGTCGGTGAACTCCTCTTCGGTTTTGGGAACGTTGACTTCACCGACTTTCTTCATCGGGATTCCGCATCCGTTCTTCACAATTAACCATAGCTTGTATTCGTTGGATTGGATAAAGATTCTCATCCTCTCCTTCCAATACGAGTAGTTTGTTCCATCGAACAAAGGTGGCCTCGTGGCTGATTGTCCCTCGGTAACTCCTGCGTTGAACATCCTTGATGCCATTTGATCTTTTAGTTCCTGAAAAAAATAACGTATTCGAAGAACTTCCTGCTCCGATACCAATTGTTAGACAAAAGTGCAACTCTAGAGGGGGGTGAATAGAGTTGTTTTCAAGAATGTACGTTTTTCGTAAAAATTATCGCAGGAAAAAGTAAGGAGAGTAAAGGAGAGAAGAACACCGAGATTTATACTGGTTCACCACCTCGTGGCTAGTCCAGTCCTCCGAGAGACTCTCTCGAAAGTCCTACTAATCTTCAAGCTTCAACGGGTGCTTGAAAAACCGGTACAACTTGAGAACTTGAATCACACAACCCTCACTTTCTTACAACAACAAGACTTGAGTCACACAAGTCTTAAGAACAACACCCAAATGAAATTGAGTTTACAACACAAGAATGAAAGCTCACACAATTGAGCAAAGTAGTGTTGAGAGATTTAAGCTCTATGAATGACAACTTCTATAGCACTCAAAAAAAATATTTCTAACTCTCAAAAATATTATTTTGATGAGGAAGATGAAGCAAAGGATGAACAGCTCAAAGAAATATATTGGAGTGCAAGAGGTGTATAGAAATGAAGGAGAATGAGGGGTTAAATAGGCTGAGAAAAATAAAGCCGTTGAAGAGAGCTGATGATATGCACCAGATAATATTAATCGATTAATATGGATAATTAAATCGATTACGGTACACAGAGGCGAGAATGCCTGAAAACAAAATTGGAATTAATCGATTAAACTGAAACGAAAAATCGATTAGTTTGCTCTGCCCAAACTAATCGATTTAATATGAAGGGAATTAATCGATTATTGGGCGATTCTGGGAATCCAACTAGAAGTCTATTAATCGATTAAAAAGGAAGAGAAAATTGATTAAATTCAAAATACCGTGCAAACATAAAGGGCCCAAGCCTATTTGCGATTGAAGCCTTTGGCTTCATACGATTGTTTGAGACAACGGGAATCAATGTACGATCATTGATAACCCTTATTCAATGAATTTGAATAGGGGAGAAAAAGACTCCAAAAATTATTTTGTGTGTCAAACAATGTACACGAAAAATATTTAACGTATATTTTTCTTACCAAAAAAAAATTGTGTATTAAAAAAAAATGTTTTTAAGAAATTTTGACACACTTATTTTGCAACTGACTCAGTAAAATATTTTAGACATAGGAAAAGTAATTTTTCAACAGACTCAAAAAAAAGTAATAATTTTTATCCCTCAAAAATAATTTGTTTGTGCAACAAAATTGTCATCCTTACAAAGATTCCTAGACTTAATTAAAAAAAAGTCTTCGGAGTCTTCACTTCACTTGAAAAATCTGCGTAGGGGTGATCGTCAATTTTTATCGCCGTAAACTTCTTGATACGCCTCTTTTCTTTTCTCGGTACGAAAAGTAAATTTTCGATCATCGTTTGAATTTCATCAACCTGTTTGTCATTTATCAAAACAAAAAAAATATTCCAGAGAAAATAATAAAGGGGTTTGAACTCATGTCCAACAATTTCCCCCTTTTAGATAATGACAAACATAGTTGAGAAAAGGCAAAGAAAAGAATACTTCCCTTAAATGATTCCCTCTGCAATGTTAGAGAAGTGCTGCAAAAATAATCATCGGAGTAATAAGTGGAAAAATCTCAACTATCCTTCCTTCCCCCTTTTGGCATTATCAACCGATAACTTTCCCCCTTAAATAATGCCGGGATTTTGAAGGATAAGAATGGCAAGAGTTTTCTTTAAAAAAGAATTTGTAAAACGCCACAAAGGGTCAATATGTTCTAAACAAGAACAAAATTGCCAAACTAACAATGATATTAATACATAAGCAGTTAATATCAACTAGCAGCATCATCATCCACCAAAAGAGTTAAAACAAATAACAATGTATCATAATCAATCAAGAGAAAATAACAGTCAAAGAGAGTTCGCCGGACGAGCTCCTCCGCCAAAGCTGTGACGCGGGCCACGGTAGGAGCGAGATTGCTCAAGACGAGTCATCCTCTCGTTGAGCTGGCGAACGTCATCTCGGATGCACGTGAGAGTGTCGAAGATCTTCTTCACCCAAGAAGGTTCCGGTGCTTCTTCTCTCGGACGAGTCCTCCGCTGACGAGTGACGCGCTCCGTGGCTCGACTACCTCCGGCTTGAGATGACTCAGCTTGATTCTCGTTTTGGCTTTCTTCTTCTTCTTCGGCGACGACCAAGTCCAGATTTGGTGCAGCATCTCCCTCCTCTCGATACACGATCCGGGAAAACTTGGCTTCAGTGATGAAACAAGTCTTCTTAACCGGCACCTGAGTGTCCCGA